GGGGGGGGGGAGCTCCCGCAGGGGCAAAACAATAAACGTTTGTGGAAAGACTGACTACAAAAAGCCTTACAGCCTAAATAAAATTATAAACACTGTACGTTTGTATTAGCTGCGTTAGGACAATTTTGTCAGATAAAGTAGACCATCGTTCAATAATATAACCTTCATCTCTATCACCCTACTTTTGAAAACAACAACAACAACAACAACAACAACAACAACAACGACGACGACGACAACAACTACAACTTGAACACTTTCTAGCACATCTTGTGGGCGATATGCTAGCCGAGGGGAACCTTGGCCATATACTAGGTCGTTCATACTAATAAGAGGTTTTTCGAAAACATTTTAAAGTTATTTCTTTTTACGATGGCATTAGAATTAGGACTTTTTACAGCCATCGGTCACCATGGTGATGTGCATGAAGTTGTGCCTGAACATGGTGACATACAAATGATAGGACTCCAGTCCCAAAATTTTCATCCTTAATTAGCAGTTGACCAAGTTTTTTCAGGTCTGATGTTTTAGCTAGCGATACTTAGCATCGTTTAGTCCACAGTTAAAGTACTATGAGTACTGAGCTTTTTAAAAGTTGTGTGTATAACTGTGATGATCAGTCATGTCTTCATAGCTGCGTGCCATCTTGGTCAAGGTCAGAGAACCTTCCTAATATTTCATGAGCAAGTTTGTAGATTTCCACTACACTGATTTGAAAAATTCAAGAGAATACCCAGACCATCATTTGGTCTTATCGCGTAGGCTTGACGTTTTCATCTGACAATAACGTTAATTGAAATAGCTGTACGTCAAACGGATTTTACACCTTTGAAAACCTTACTNCAACAACAACAACAACAACAACGACGACGACGACAACAACTACAACTTGAACACTTTCTAGCACATCTTGTGGGCGATATGCTAGCCGAGGGGAACCTTGGTCATATACTACGTCGGCCGTCCTAATTAGAGGTTTTTCGAAAACATTTTTAAGTTATTTCTTTTTACGATAGCATTAGAATTAGGACTTTTTACAGCCATCGGTCACCATGGTGATGTGCGTGAAGTTGTGTCTGAATATGGTGACATACAAATGATACGACTCCAGTCCCAATATTTTCATCCTTAATTAGCTGTTGACCAGTTTTTTCAGGTCTGATGTTTTAGCTGGCGATACTTAGCACCGTTTAGTCCACAGCTACAGCACTATGAATACTGAGCTTTTTAAAAGTTGTGTGTATAACTGTGATGATCAGTCATGTCTTCATAGCTGCGTGCTATCTTGGTCAAGGTTAGAACCTTCCTAATATTTCAAAAGCAAGTTTGTAGATTTCCACTATACTGATTTGAAAAATTCAAGTGAATACCCAGACCATCATTTGGTCTCATCGCGTAGGCTTGACGTTTTCATCTGACAATAACGTTAATTGAAATAGCTGTACGTCAAACGGATTTTATAGTAAATTCAAAGTTTCAAAACAACCGCCATTATGGATGCGAAGCGGTCGAAGCTTTATGCTTCGTTCTTCCTCATATCTCTTGGCGAAACAACCTGGCAGCTGTAAAAATCAATGAAGCTGTTGGAAAAAGAATTTGAAAGCCCTCAAAGATAAGGTATGTGGTTCGTAACGAATAACATCGATTCGCATTCCATCGAGTGAGATTTATAATGTTGCTTCTTAATTTTCTAAAATGACTAAAATGTTGTTATTTCCTTTATGGTTGATAGTGCGTGAATATACAGTGGAATCCCGATTTTTCGAACCTCCAAGGGAAACGAAAATTGGCTCGGAAAATCGGAGAGTTCGAGAAATCGGGGGCAAAATGACAGCATCTGACTGAGGAGGGAAAACGACTTTTGGTTCGAGTTATCGGGAGATTCGAAAAAATGAGGGTTCGAGAAATCGGGAGTCCACTGTACTATTCATTTGTGATTACTTCTAAGCGTCTCGGACACCGCCTTACTTGAATTACCTTCAGTATTGTGTTTCCTCTGCTGTTTTGATGTCCGGTCCCTAAATTATCGTTGCTTTTTGCCTGACTACGGCTTTTAATGATCGTCCGTTGTATTGGTACATCACGGTCATGTTAATGATAAATATTTTCCAAAGAAAGTGTACAACCAATAACAAAAGGGTTAAAGATGATTTCCAGTCCGTACTGCGCAGTCTTAGCAGGACACATTTGTAACTCAACAAGAAGCAGTTTGTTCTATCTTAGCAATTCATCTATTTCAAATGACAATGAAAACATATTACAACCACTAAATTCCGAGAACATTCGCTACTAAGTGTTTTCTAACAAAACACTTATTCTTTTCATTTTGGATATTTAACACATTACGGAAAGAAACCACCTTGCCTCTTAATTTTCTAAAATGACTAAAATGTTGTTGTTCCTTTATGGTTGATAGTGCGTGATTATACTATTCATTTGTGATTACTTCTAAGCGTCTGAGACACCGCCCTATAAAATAATGTGTCCAAGTCTATAAAATAAAACAGTCGAATATTGCGGATTCAACTATAAAAATATGGGTAAGTTTACGGATACACATTGATACGACTCTGATGCTTTATAATTAGAAGAAAAGCATTTTCCTACAAACTCAATGTTGGCCGGTTAGCCGTTTTCACTGAAAAGCTAAAACTATTAAGCAGTCTCGAAATAAAAATCGAAAGGGTCGCTCCCATCCGTATTGATAGATGTGCTGAACAATCTAAAAGGCAAGAGAAAACAACACTGTTAGTTATTATGGAGAGGAACACTTGATCAATTTCCTCTGAAGCTATTGAAAATTCATTTCCTTGCACGAACAAAAAAAGAGTGTCATGGCGACCGCAAACGTACAAAGCAAGTAGGGTATTATTTTCCATCATAACTTTAAACTTTTGAAACACGTTGTATGTGTCGTGTAAAATAATTCGGTCATCTGAGATTTTGAAGAAGCGCCAAAGTATTGTTATTTACGCGAGACAAAGAAGTTGACACCTCAAATACTTTACTTCCAATTGTATCATCTCAAGATTACACAAACACTTAGGTACCTTTCGCTATATTGAAGTTCCTCTAGTCGCCTTTCGCAAAGTCCAAAGTAACATCATCACCAATGAGTACAAATGGAGCCCAGTACTTCACTTCGCTAAATTTCTCAGACTCTCTCAGACACTTCATAGCGTGGTTCAGAGATTCACCGGCACTTCTTCCTTTTGCTAGGTGTAAGTAGAAACTCCTCATGAACTCTAGAGTAGCTTCGTCGTCAATTGCCCACAGGGACACAAGAACAGAACGAGCACCGGCACCTAAGAAGGCTCGTGCAATGCCAACCACTCCCTCAGCCTTAATCTCACCACGACCACTATGGCAACAACTTAGCACAACCAGTCTTGCTCGGATTTGAACTCTCATCACATCACTCATGGTTAGCAAGAAGTCTTCCTGAACAGGGATCTGGGACGCTCGTGTAGGGTTTGCTGCCAAAGCAATTTCTCCTGTTTCCATACAGCCATGTGCTGCAATGTGCACCAAAGCAACTGAGGAAAGTCTTCCTAATACTTCATCTTTTGTTGCCTCCCTTCCAGTGAGGGGGGCAGTGTTGAGTATTTTCCCAATCATCTCTACTTCCATCTTTGCAAATGGCAGCTGTCCTAGCTTTATCCCACAATAACGAACTTCATCTAACCATGGATCTCCCACAAGCAGTGCCCCAGAATTTTTGTGGTAATCTGGTGAACAATCTTTGATCAACTTCAAACTATTCAATGACGGAATGACACGGATTCTGAAAGACTCGCACAAGTGCTTTGAATTAGGATCCATGAATGCAGCATAAGGAGCCAAGCACAGTGGACCTTCGGGAACAAATATCAGCTCATTGCCATAAATCAAGTCTTTGATGGGGCTAATGGTGACGTCATACCATGTTCTTAAAGGATTGGTGTCAAAGGTCGTGGGTTGGGATATGGTTTGATTGCTCTTCTTCTTTGACAGCTCGGCTTTGCTCATCCTATCCAATGAACGATCTTCGCATTCCACACCACCTCTGACACCAATTTTCTCACGAACATTGTAAATTAACGACTGCAACAGAGCGGTAGCAACATCCTCCGAATTATTATGGCTGATTTCCTTTCTTCTTAATTGAACATCCTTTCCATTTTGAATAATCCAGAAAATTATTTCTCTTTCATGAACTGCCATAAAGACTGTATTGAATGGAAGGCAACTTAATGTGTCGAAAGTCATTTTATCCGATATATGTGGTGCTTCAGTTTCGTAGTTTAAATTCATAAGATCTTTCAGAGCCTGCGCCCGTCCTTGCTCAACAGCAAACAATGCCTCAACTACGTCACCTTGTTTCAAAATTAGACGCCATAATCTCGTATAAGCCAAGTCATTAGCATTGCGGTAGCTAATTGTCCACTCATCTTTAGCTTGCAGATGCTGCCTAACATCATCTAACAATCGCACGCTAGAGTGATAACAATCACGAGCCTTCTTTAGAGAACCTTGAGATTCAAAGCACACACCAAGATTAAAATACGATCTTCCCTCTCCAGCCCTGTCTCCCACTTCTTTGGCGATTTTTAGATCTAGTTCATGGTACTCGATGGCTGTTTCGAAATTTCCCAGACTGCCATAAGCGTTGCCAAGACTACCATACGACCTTCCCTCTCCAGCCCTGTCTCCCACTTCTTTGGCAATTTTTAGATGTCGTTCATGGTACTCGATGGATTTCTTGAAATCTCCTAGACTTTGATAAGCGTTGCCAAGATTACCATACGACGTTCCCTCTACAGCCCTGTTCCCCACTTCTTTGGCAAATTTTAGACATAGTTCATGGTAGTCGATGGCTTTCTTGAAATTTCCCAGACTTTGATAAGCGATACCAAGATTACCATACGAGCTTCCCTCTCCAGCCATGTCTCCTATTTCTTTGGCAATTTTTAGACGTCGTTCATGGTACTCGATGGCTTTTTCGAAATTTCCCAGACTTTCATAAGCGTTGCCAAGACTACCATACGACCCTCCCTCTCCAGTCCTGTCTCCCACTTCTTTGGCAATTTTTAGATGTCGTTCATGGTACTCGATGGCTTTTTTGAAATTTCCCAGACTTTGATAAGCGTTGCCAAGATTACCATACGACGTTCCCTCTACAGCCCTGTTCCCAACTTCTTTGCCAAATTTTAGACATAGTTCATGGTACTCGACGGCTTTCTTGAAATTTCCCAGACTTTGATAAGCGATACCAAGATTACCATACGAGCCTCCCTCTCCAGCCATGTCTCCCACTTCTTTGGCAATTTTTAGACGTCGTTCATGATACTCGATGGCTTTTTTGAAATTTCCCAGACTTTGATAAGCGTTGCCAAGATTACCATAGGCCATTCCCTCTCCAGCCATGTCTCCTACTTCTCTGGCAATTTTTAGATCTAGTTCATGGTACTCGATGGCTTTTTTCAAGTCTCCCAGACGGCCATAAGCGTTGCCAAGATTACCATACGACATTCCCTCTCCAGCCCTGTCTCCCACTTCTTTGGCAATCTTTAGATGTCGTTCATGGTACTCGATGGCTTTTTTGAAATTTCCCAGACTGCCATAAGCGTTGCCAAGATTACAATATGACTTTCCCTCTCCAGCCCTGTCTCCCACTTCTTTGGCAATTTTTAGATGTAGTTCCTGGTACTCGCTGGCTTTTTTGAAATTTCCCAGACTTTGATAAGCGTTGCCAAGATTATTATACGACTTTCCCTCTCCAGCCCTGTCTCCCCTTTCTTTGGCAATTTTTAGATGTAGTTCATGGTACTCGATAGCTGTTTTGAAATCTCCCAGACTTTGATAAACGTTGCCAAGGTTACCATACGACCTTCCCTCTCCAGCTCTGTCTCCAACGTCTTTAGCAATTTTGAGATGTAGTTCCTGGTACTCGCTGGCTGTTTCGAAATCTCCCAGACTATGATAAGCGTTGCCAAGATTACAATACGACCTTCCCTCTCCAGCCCTGTCTCCCACTTCTTTGGCAACTTTTAGATGTCGTTCATGGTACTCGATAGCTTTCTTGAAATTTCCCAGACTTTGATAAGCGTTGCCAAGATTACCATACGACATTCCCTCTCTAGCCCTGTCTTCAACATCTTTGGCAATTTTTAGATGTCGTTCGTGGTACTGGATGGCTCTTTTGAAATTTCCCAGATATTGATTGACGTTGCCAAGATTACCATACGACATTCCCTCTCCAGCCCTGTCCCCTACTTTTTTGGCAATTTTTACATCTAGTTCATGGTACTGGATGGCTTTTTTGAAATCTCCCAGACTTTGATAAGCGTTGCCAAGATTACCATACGACCTTGCCTCTCCAGTCCTGTCTCCCACCTCTTTGGCAATTTTTAGATGTCGTTCATGGTATTCGATGGCTTGTTTGAAATCTCCCAGACTCTGATAAACGTTGCCAAGATTACCATACGACATTCCCTCTCCAGTTCTGTCTCCCACCTCTTTGGCAATTTTTAGATGTCGTTCATGGTACTCGATGGCTTTTTTGAAATCTCTTAGACTTCGATAAGCGTTGCCAAGATTACCATACGACATTCCCTCTCCAGCCCTGTCTCCTACTTCTTTGGTAATTTTTAGACGTCGTTCATGGTACTCGCTAGCTTTTTTGAAATTTCCCAGACTCTGATAAGCGTTTCCAAGATTACCATACGACATTCCCTCTCCAGCCCTGTCTCCCACTTCTTTGGCAATTTTTAGATGTCGTTCGTGGCACTCGATGGCTTTCTTGAAATCTCCCAGACTTTGATAAGCGCAGCCAAGATTACAATACGACTTTCCCTCTTCAGCCAAGTCTCCCAATTCTTTGGCAATTTTTAGATGTCGTTCATGGTACTCGATGGCGTTTTTGGAATTTCCAAGACTGCCATAAGCGTTGCCAAGATTGCCATACGACCCTCCCTCTCCAGTCCCGTCTCCTACTTCTTTGGCAATTTTTAGAGAACTTTCGAGGTGCTCGATGGCTCTTTTAAGATTACCCAGAGTGTTATGAACATTACTACACCAGGTTCCTTCTCCTGTGTTATCTCCCTCATCTTTCGTAGTTTTCAGTAAAGAGTCGGTATCTTTCTATCAGACAGAAACGCGTGTCAGTTAATAACAAAATCATGAATATTTACCCACAAAATTTACAAACTGCTTTTCTTGGGAGTTATATAGCTGAGACTATCGACACCCTTCCAGTCCATGCTTGATGATTAAACACCAAGGTACATTAATTTTGGATACTGGATGCTAAAATGACAAAATGTAATTATGCCGAGAATTATTCCAGGACACTATCAATCAATATACTCGTCTTCTTCTTAAGGGTGATAAGTTACAATGTTAGTAACTTTTACTGTAACTTTTTAGCATAGTAGAGAGACGTCAAAAAACGCTAGGAGATGACCTTTGGATACTCCAATAATGTACATCATTATTTCACAAATATTGCAGCACTTCGAAGGTTGCATAAAGAGTGAAAAGGTTGTAAATAGTACTTAAAAGGTAAGATATGCAAGATAAAATAGTCAAGAAACAGCAGGTAACAAGCTAGGTGTTGAAGTTGTTTCATTAGCGAGGGTTCTTCCCATTAGAGGAACGTCGAGGTATTAAGAACTGTGTGGAAACACTGTTTTAAGTGTTTCATACAACTTCTCGCTTGCAAATTGTCGTAAAGACAAGCACGTGCGTATGGGCAGAATGGACAACTGCCTTAGTTTCGATTCCATACCTCCTCGATACAATTAATTAGAATGGCGGACGAGTTTTATGTTTATACTTATGCTTATAGCAGCGCGTGTTCACTAGTTGACGTTTAGCATAAGCATAAGTTCTACGAAGCCTGCTGCGTTTTTATTTCACAATTACATTGAGAGGTTGAGATTTCTACCATGATGAGGGCGCAGCCTGACTCAACTACCACCCATACAAATCGAGAGCGAATAATCTAATCGTCTGAATATATATCTACAAGTTGTTCAAAACTTTATCAAAGTCCTCTTCAAAGACACTTTGAAAACGTAAAGGGGCGGCCGCCATTTTTGTTGGCAAGGGTACTCGCTATATACGAGAGAATAGATAGTGAGTAGCGTAGTCAATAAGAGGACGGCTTTCGCGGTAGGATGCTTGTAGATTTATAATGAATCTGGAAATAACCACGGAGAAAATGTCTGAAATCGTTTTAAAGCCATGACGCCATAAGCATCGCTTAATGTTGATATGCAAAATTCTATTTCTTTTAAGAAAACACTGCGAGAAAAACAAATCAAGAGAAAGCAATCGTCTTATTTCAATTATCAAAATGTATATTCTCTTTGTTCGAGTCATTACGTCATTTGCTCGAGTCTATGTTATATGTAACAGCTTGTGCTAGCTCTGTGTTTCTAGTGAGTTATAGAAGTACATCTTTTAGGCCGCGCTTCCGTACAGGAAGTTTTTTGAACACCATTTATCAAGTCCGACATCATTTAATTTCTCTTTAAAGGTGAGAAGATATTTTCCTCTACTGAGCATTTCTTACCTTGCCCGTCACAGAGTGCGTTTCTGGATTGCTGTTTGCTTCTTGTAATTTAATTCGATCACCAACACATCTGGCTTGCAAGTCTAGTAATGTCTTGCTAGTGTTAGCAATCTGCTTCGGGTTAAGGCACATGACGTCACATGGTAAGAGGATACTATTAAAATGTATTGAAATATATACTTAGAAACTCATTGCGTGGCTTATATTTATATTATTTTTTTCTAAGAGGACACGGTAACGAATCCTGCAATCTGATTGGTTCTTAGCGCGCTCTGGATTTTATTATCTCTGACCACGGTCTTGGTAACGCTTTCAAAACGAGTGAAATCGTCGTGTTGATCAATTTTCGTGAGTGAACTAGCGGTACTCGTCAACTTTTGCCCTTTTTACACTTCCGTCGACGATTGATCTTCACAATATTTTCTCTACTCACTTTAAAATGACAACAAAAGTTACTGAAGTAAATTTAAACGAGTGTTTTATTTGTGAGAGTTGTTTGGTCGTTTGTAGTTCGGCACGGCACTGTAATAGCGTGTAATCTTGTGTTTCTCTTGACCTACTACTTTAATTGAAAAATGAGTCAATTGCAGTCGAGTTTACTTCTTTGATGGTTGGTGTATTTGAGAGAATTTCCACGTGAAAGGAAGTAAGAGACAGGAGGGCACGGACTCCCTATGTGGTTTTGTGGTCGCGTCGCATGATTGCCTCCAAATTACATATTTTTGCTCTAACGAAAGTGTCTTTAATGGATTTTCCTCAAATTGTATGATATGATAGAAGGATTTTGCGAATCGTATTTAGCAATGGTTGATATTCCCGTTTTCCATCACTATTTGCTTGAGATTTTGCACTGCAGGATGGTATGTATAGTGAAAAAAGGTAATATCCTCTCATGATTCTTTTCTTTTTGTTTGAGTACCGATGCTCTTGACGCAAAATTGGCCCCTAGCAAATACCTTTCCATGAGCCTCGTGCTTGGAGGCGTAGTTTGAATTTTGCGAGGAACTCTTCAAATGTTGTGTTTGAAGAGTTAGTTCTAAGCAATCGCATTGCTTCGCCTTTGATAAAACCTCTTTTAACGCCTTTTTAACGTATGAGGTGAAGTGTGTATATTTAAAGGAGAACGATGC